GGGGGGGGGAGCTTTTGCATTGGGGTAAATTGTAGTCAACGTCATGAGACACTGTGTGTGTGAACTGCTGTATGGCAAGTAAATTTGCTCTAAACTTTCACCCAAATCACAATTAAAAAAAAAAGGATGGGAGATATTTTGCTTCTATTACTCAGCTCCTTTAATATTTGTAAAAAACTATTTTTAAAAAGCTAAAGGAAGTGAAACCAGTCTCTTTCCCTATCCATTTGATGGTTAAAATCTTCCTCTACTGAGGCTGCCCTTTGGTGAGCACTTATGAGGGACACAAATATCTTCACCTTAGAAAAAGCTAAAGCAAAGGTGTTTATATGCTGAACATTCAGATCCTATGCTGTATCCTAGGAGAGTGCTATGATTCCGTCTTGGGGCGGGGCTTAGGAATCTGTATTTTCAGACACCCCAGGATTTTATGATCTGTATTTCCAGACTATTCTTGAGAAATTAGGGTTTAGGATTTTTTAAGGGACAATAATTTTGTTGCTGCTTTCTCTTATGTATGGTATAGGTTTATAGGTTGGTGGCTTTCAAACTTTTGAGCGTATTTATATAGGTATTTTACATATGGATCCATGTATACATATAGATATGCATGACACAGATTCATTGCAGTTGCAAGTATTTACCCTTATCATCCCTGTACACTCTGATTTTTTTATTTTAATGATAGTCATGATGCTTGGAATTGATTTCATGACCAGTGTCTCCAACTCAGTTTGAAAGTACTGGCATGGGTAGTAAGTATTTTCCATGTAAGGGTGACAGCATGATTATTGAAATGGAGATTGATTTATCTTTGTGGTCATTTTGAGGAAGTTTTCCTTTTTAAAATTGTGAATATATAGGTAACAACATTTACCATTTCTACAGTTTGTGGATTTCAGTGACATTAATTGTGTATATTATGTTCTTGAATTTTCCATTATCCCTAACAGAAGCTCAGTGTCCACTCAGAGGGGGAAGTTTATTATTTTAAAGTACTTTATTGCTATATTTAAGCATCCACCACCCTCAGTTAGTACTTCCACCCTTTTTTCTATTGGTCCCTTTCCATTCCTCAGTATACAATTAAGTGTTTCCTTGCGTTATTCAGAATATTTTAATACTTTAGTATTTTATATACTTAAGAGGAACAGACAAGGAAAAACACAAGTCAGATGTGAAATTAGTGTTCTTATTAAATATGTAACACAACATAAAACATAACATAGTATACAGCTTACTTGATACAGATGGCTTTAAAATAATTGGCTGGATCATCCTCAAATTGAGATAATAAACTAAATGTATGGAAAGGACCCTGAACTGTAGCAAATTTTTATATGAAAATAAGATCAAATTAATCTAAATGAAATAAATTAAGGATATATTTTTAGCCAAGAAAATTGGTAACATTTATTGGTCTATTAATCCTCACTGGAATCTTTAAAGTAGGAAATACTATTATTACATTTTTTTTACATGCAAAAACACAAATTTATTGGGAAAGAGTAACTGGCCCAAGGTACAAAGACTTGGTAAGAGATAGCTGTGGAACTTTACCTTAAACATTAGGATAATTTTGATTTAGTTATTCTTGATAAAAGGAAGGAAATTTATTCTTTACTTAGCTATGCAAATATAACATGTAATGGGGGCAAAATAATGGCTTCTTATGAATTATATTATTTTTAGCAATACAAATAGTGGTCATCCTCATATAATACTTTTTTTTTTTTAAATTTTAAGAGCTTGTTTTACATTCAAGATAACACATACATTTAGTTTCATTCCCCATTTGCCATGTCGAAACCTAACGCAGTCTCCTCCCCTCCCTACCCTGCAACCCTCCCCCTGTGCCCCTCATATTTATGCACTCCTGTTCTCAAAGAATACTTTTTACATAGCTCTACATTACCAAAAAAAAAAAATGATCTTATTTTTTTTAAAGTGGTATTTGAGTACCTATGTGTAAGAAATGCTTAATGCTCAAAGAGGAGTATTCCATTAAGTAGTCAGGTAGCACTTAGGTACCAGATGCTCTGCGAGAATAATAGAAAGCCTCTTTTTGTAGAGTTTGATCCAGTGAGGAAGGTGCCATTTGATGATTAGTCCGGATCCAAAGTTATCTGACTCTAGGTAAAAAAGGTTTTCCTCTTTATGCTTTGTATGTATTTACTGCAAGTTGTTGGTTTGTGGTAGCTAGGCTGACAAAGACTTCAGTAGGGGAAACAAAGTGTTAGAACCAGATATCCTGGTGTCTGTCAGTTCTCTCTTTCTCTGTCTGAGTTTAATTGTGTCTATAGCTGTTAGTAGTAATCTCAAGATTTCTTCCCAAAGAAGGTATTCTGAACCTTTTTGGAGGCATTGTTGTTGTTAGGTGCTCTTAAGGCGGCTTCGACTCATAGTCACCCTATATGTACAACAGAACAAAACAATGCCTAGTCCTGCGCCAGCCTCACAATCCTCACTATACCTGAGCCCATCATTACAGCCACTGTGTCAGTCCATTGTGTTGAGGGACTTCCCCTTTTTCTCTGATGCTCCACTTTACCAAGCATGATAGCTTTCTCCAGGGAATGGTCCCTTCTGACAACATGACCAAACTGGGTAAGATGAAGTGTGACCATTCTCGCGTCCCAGGAGCATTCCAACTGCATTTCTTCCAGGACGGATTTGTTAGTTCTCCTGGCAGTCCATGATACTTTCAGTATTCTTTGCCAACACTGCAACTCAAAAGCATCAACTCTACTTCATGGGTCTTCCTTATTCATTGTCCAGCTTCCATATGCATATGAGGTGATTGAAAGCACCATGGCTTAGGTTAGGTGCATCTTAGTCTTCAAAGAGACATCTTTGCTCTTCAGCACTTTAGAGAGGTCTTTTGCAGCAGATTTGCCCAGTGCAATACGTCATCTGATGTCTTGACTGCTGCTTCCATTGCTGTTGATTGTGGTACCAAGTGATATGAAATCTTTGACAACTTCGGTGTTTTCTCCACTTACCATGATGCTGCTTATTGGTCCAGTTGTGGGAATTTTCATTTTTATGTTGAGGTAAGGAGCTCTGGTAAGCACACTGCCTAAGGTATCTGACTGCTAACCAGAAGATTGGTGGTTCAAATCCACCAGCCACACCATGGAACCAAGACTGGGGAGCCTACTTCTGTACTGCCTTGGAAACCCAACGGGTGTGTGTGTGTGTGTGTGTGTGTGTGTGCTATGACTCGGTATCCACTCGATGGCAGTGGGTTTCTTTTTTTTTTTTTTGAATGTTGAGATATAATATATACTGCAGACTGTAGTCTTTAATCTTCATCAGTAAGTACTACAAGTCATCTTGATACAGAGGCATAAGAACGTTTTAAAGATTCTGAGAGCCAGAGATCTGTTTTTCAGAAAAACAAACATATAACATTTGCATGTAATTTCAGGAGTTCTGCCTCACTAACTGCCAATTTTGTGGTTCTTTAAAGGACTGGTATTAGGATTCTGTTATTTGAATCAAATAGTGCTTAGAATGATCAAGTTAACATATATGCTGAAATACATAGCAAGTTTAGTTTAAATGTTGGGTTCTTGATGTTTAGTGCAGGCCAATTAAGCCACTGTTATTTCTAAGTCTTTATGGAAACAAGGTTATTGACTTCTGTTTATTAGAAACACAATTGTTAAGATTTATGCCCTATACTTGTGCTTTACAAACTGAGTCTGGACCTATAATAGTGTTTTGAAATCAATGAAATGGCATTAAAATCAATGAAATAGACCAGAGTGGAAAAATATCTTCATGTATCACCTATGGTAAGCTTAAGTATTTGGTTACATTAGTTTTGAGTGTACATATGTGTGCATTCATACATGTGTATGTAAATGTAATTTTATTACAATGTGAAAATATTTCTTAATGTGGGATGTGATTTTAAATGTTTGAAAGTCACAACTTTATACTTTTCTGCTTTTGTGGTAATTTGATCATTTGAGTTCCTGGTGTTTTTATTTTTATGGTGGTGGTAGTAAGGGAGCTTAAGAATTAGGATAGAAAAGGAGCAACAATGCTTTGAATTTTTATTGATTGGCCAATAAAGTTAAGGTGATATTTTATTGATTCAACTTTTTTTGATAGTAAAGGCTGAATTTGCTTTGTGAACCTTTTCAAAGGTATTATAACCCAAGAAAGATGTATGTTACAAATTTTAGTTGCATTTACTGGCCATGTTGTAGTACTATAATATGATGTTTAATATTAAGCTGCCTGATAGAAAATCCTTCTATTCAAGATAGAAAATGTTTGTTTTAAATAAAGTCACCTATTCTGCTTAGTGCAGATATTTGAAGTACTAAGAAAGGACTTTGGGATTTTGAGAGGAAGTGGTCAGTATTTTTTAAAAAAAGAAATAATGAAATGGTTTTTAGGAATGTTCATATAAAAGAAACATTGTCTTGTTTAAGTTTTAAGAAATTGAATTGTATTAAAAAAAGAAAACTTTAGACTTAATTAAAAAGCCAATAAATAAATAAATTTATAGATATTGACTTAATGGCTTCTTTTTTCTTTTCTTTCAAAGGTTTGGGCCCCATGGGATCCCTGTGACAGTATTTCCCAAAAGGGAATATAAGGATAAACCTGAACCCATGCAGCTCCAAAGTAATACATTCCAAGAAGGGACAGAAGTCAAGCGAGAAGCGAATGGTGCTGTTCCCCACAACCCCTCTCCTGCCCAGCCTCCCGAGCCCAGCCTTGCTGAAAGCCTGTGGACTTCTAAGCCACCACCTCTCTTCCATGAAGGAGCACCTTATCCTCCCCCTTTGTTTATCAGGGACACATATAACCAGTCAATACCTCAGCCACCACCTCGGAAAATTAAGCGACCCAAACGAAAAATGTACAGGGAAGAACCCACTTCTATAATGAATGCTATTAAACTACGACCCAGGCAAGTCCTTTGTGACAAATGTAAAAACAGTGTTGTTGCTGAAAAAAAGGAAATTAGGAAAGGTGGTAGTGCAAGTGACTCTTCTAAATATGAAGATAAAAAACGGAGAAATGAAAGCGTGACTACTGTCAACAAAAAACTTAAAACTGACCATAAAGTGGATGGGAAACACCAAAATGAAAGCCAGAAAAGAAATGCTGTGGTTAAGGTTTCAAATATTGGTCACAGCAGAGGCAGAGTAGTTAAAGTTTCTGCTCAGGCTAACACATCAAAAGCTCAGTTAAATACTAAAAAAGTGCTCCAGAGTAAGAACATGGATCATGCAAAAGCTCGAGAAGTATTGAAAATTGCCAAAGAAAAGGCACAAAAGAAGCAAAGTGAAACCTCTACTTCCAAAAATGCACATTCAAAAGTCCATTTCACACGTCGATATCAGAATCCTAGCTCAGGTTCCCTTCCACCTCGGGTTCGTTTAAAACCACAGAGGTACAGGAATGAAGAGAATGACTCTTCTCTGAAGACAGGACTTGAGAAAATGCGGAGTGGCAAGATGGCACCCAAGCCCCAGTCTCGCTGCACCTCCACCCGCTCAGCAGGTGAGGCCCCTTCAGAAAATCAGAGTCCCTCAAAAGGCCCGGAAGAGGCCAGCAGTGAGGTTCAGGACACAAATGAAGTGCATGTGCCTGGTGAGCAGGATGAACCACAGACATTGGGCAAAAAGGGCAGCAAAAGCAATATCTCTGTTTACATGACCCTAAATCAAAAGAAATCTGACTCTTCCAGTGTGTCAGTGTGTAGCATTGATAGCACAGATGATTTGAAATCTTCCAACTCTGAGTGTAGTTCTTCAGAAAGCTTTGATTTTCCTCCAGGCAGTATGCACGCACCTTCCACCTCTACTACTTCTTCCTCTTCAAAGGAAGAGAAAAAGCTCAGTAATTCCTTGAAAATGAAAATCTTTTCCAAAAATGTCTCTAAATGTGTCACACCAGATGGCAGGACCATATGTGTAGGAGACATAGTTTGGGCCAAGATTTATGGCTTCCCTTGGTGGCCAGCCCGTATTCTTACTATAACTGTGAGCCGGAAAGATAATGGACTTTTAGTCCGACAGGAGGCCCGCATTTCATGGTTCGGGTCTCCAACGACATCTTTCCTTGCTCTTTCGCAACTCTCCCCCTTTTTAGAAAACTTTCAGTCACGCTTTAATAAGAAGAGAAAGGGCCTGTATCGAAAGGCTATCACAGAGGCAGCTAAGGCTGCCAAGCAGCTGACCCCTGAAGTGCGAGCTCTGTTGACACAGTTTGAAACTTGAACGTGGACAGTAAGGTAGGCAAGAATGATTGGAAGGCATCAGATTTGGTAGTTTAGTTAGGAAAAATTTTCATGAGATAACCTTGGCCAAGTGGGAGAGAAATTGTACTCAGTTGGCTGTTTTTTTTTATACTTACCTTATAGCCATTTTTTGACTGAGAAGCTTAAATTGAACATACAATCAAATTTTGTCTTAAGGAAATGAGATTTTAGCAGTATTTTTCAGTTTCATAGTCTAAAATCATCCCAAGGCATAGGAGCCATAGCCTCAACTGAAAGTGAATTTTTGCAGGGACTGTTAATAGCCGTTTGTACCTAGTACTGTATATATAAACACATATACATATACATATATATATACATATATATATGTATGAAGAATATATAGCCTGTCACTGTGTGACAAGGGTTGCAGACCTGGGATTGCATTAGGGGCTGGTGAACTGGGGAAATAGTGTGGATATTTAATGACTACTTGTTTTGTTTTTTAATTAATGAACACTTAGCCTATCTATGCACAAAATGGCATTAGGAGTTTGATATTTAGTGTTTGACAAACTGAGATGCTTGCTATTTAATTGTGGACTGGGGAGATAGCCCAGTATTTGGGATTAAGGTTGTTAAGGCTGGATAGGTTTGAATCATCACTTTCTGTCTTTTTTTTCCAATGGGGATTTAACAGAAACTTTCAGACTTCTAGTTTGGGAGTTTAGATCGATTGGTTTTTGGATTTGTAAATAGCTGATTCCTATATATGGTCAGATTTCTCCTGACTGGCTGTTCCTAAATTCTTAGGATACGTCCTAGTAAATTACACCTTGTGAATTAATTGTCATATGTGTAATTGTTGCATTTTGGATGTACCTAATTTGATAATTTTTTAAAAATATTTCAATTTAAGGTATCTGTTTGCAGGTCAGAAAATGAGAAAATGTAATTGTGTAATGCTCTGAAATGTAAAAAAAAAAAAAAACTGTAAATAAAATTGACTAAATCCGAATTATTTGTGTGTGTTTCTCAAAAAGCTTGAAAATTTTCAAAAAGGTAGAAAACAATTCTTTGTAATAGTGTTTAGAGGAAGTGAAAGAGCAAACTTTTGTTTATTTTCCTATTTGCCCTATCGGAATGAATATATTATGAATATAGGTAAAATTTGAAAAACAAGTGATTAATCAGTATATCCTTAAGATGGAGTTTTGTAGTATAGATATCTGGTATGCTTCTAGACTTGATACCCCTTTCCTGCCAATTTCTCATTATGTGTGGGTTTTAATTTTTCATTTTTAGCCTTAGTATTTTATCATGTGCTTTATTTTTTTACACTTGGGTAATTACAACCAGTTTCTTTTCTATGGTCTTTAGTCCTCTGCCTCAGGTATTGTTTTTTGGGGCTAGTAACTTAGCTCACTTTTCTGTGTTCTCTATTTTGTCCTTCATATTTGATTTCTTACTCATTTTTAGCTTTATATATTCAGTGAAAAATATATCTGATAACCTGTGAAGGCAAATTTATCCCAAGATGTTTTAAGTTGCTTTCTACTTTTTGGGTTTGACATAGCCAACTGAAATTGGATATAATTGGAAACTTGAAACTTTAGTTGAGAGCAACTTTTTGTAGATTTCTGAATAATTCAACTTGAAAGATCTTAGTTACTATGGAATTTATAGTGAAAAAAATTAATGAAGATTAAAAATTAGTCTTCTGTCAGATTCCTTGAAGTTAATGGATGTCTATGATTTACATACCAATTTCTGCAAAAGCAAGTAGAATTCCTGGGGAAACTCAGTCAATGCTTTTTGATTATAATAAACACACAATTAAAAAAAACCAAGATGTTTCACTTGAATAAAACATATTCTTTCCTGCAAACAGAAATTATTATTTGTAAAATTCTTTGTTTGATAAAAACAGGTTGAAAAAGTTCAGTGTGATTGAAGGGTTATAAGGAAGTATCTTAAAACTATTTTAAAGTATTTGTTTCAGAGTAATAGTTCATTCAGATACTTTTGAAAATTTGAAGTCTAAACTCCAGAAAGATTTAAACCAGCAGAGCAAAAATTTACCCGAAATGTATAATTTCAAGGCTTTGTATAATGATCCACTTGACTTTCAATAGTGATTCTGAAAGTAGATATTGCTAATACAGAGTCAGCTTTGGCAAAAGTGCTCTGAGGCATACACCAAATTTAATTTGTTTCAGAAGCCTTGGGGAAAAAGAAGAAAATATAATAATGATTGTTAAGTAGGAAAATAACATTAAATTTTATGTTGCCCATACCTTGAAGAAAATGTTGAACCATAATCACAAATTAATTTTGGTTTCTAATTATGGCAAATTATCCCTCTTTTTAAACTGGCAAGTTTGGCATATTTTATCTGAAATTCCAATAGGGAAACTTGTTTTAAGGAATTTTTAAAACGTTGTATGTTATAAACTCAAGTCCAATAGCTACATATAAACAATACAAACAAATTTCTAAAGCAGCTGGTTAAATTTGTCCAGTACCTACTGTAGATAGAGATGTTAAATTGGGTAATTGTAGCCATTTTCCTTTTCCATTTCTTTTTGAAATGATAAAAGGAAGTATTATTAGTCACTTACTCTTTGTTTTGTATTGAGGTAACCAAGTAGGTATTTTCCCCTTGAAGAGAGAATACCTGGCTTGGGCCAAATCTCCAGTGGTCTAAGACTTGACTAAAACAAAGGATTGGCAACCATCCAAGTGGAGAAATAAGAGCTGTTAAAGCTAAGGATGTCTTTATTTTTAGAAATTCTTAAAAATTTATAGCATCAGGGAGAGATTTTTTCTTTTTAGTTTTCTAGAATTTGTATACTAGAAAATTTCTTTGGAAGGGGCATTCTACTCAATTCACAGATGTGGAACCAAAAACAGCGAGATAAGAAAACTAGGATTCATTAGTCTGAATCTCCTACTTATACCCACATGGTGTGTCCCTATATAGTTTTGATGGGAAAATTTTATAAATGGTCAGTAGTTGTAGATTAGTATTAAGTAAAATAGGTAAGAATTAAGTGCCTAGACAGACATGGAATAAAGAACATGGAACAAATAGTATAATCAACTAAATATATGTCTTGAGTTTTGTTTTGGCCAGTTACTGTGCCTGATACTGTTAAATCTCAGTGGGATTTTCATTTTGAAAATGTAAGTATATATTTAGAGGTATTTCAATATCTGGGTTGCTCTTCTAAATTACAAAACATTAAATTGAGTTGTACCCCTGTTTGAGCAGGTTGTACCTTTCTGAAAATTGGTGGTGGTGGAGGACAGGTATACATCTACAGGGTACAAGATAGTCAACTTTTTCTTCATGGAGAGTAACTGAATTGGGGATTAGAAGTGGGTTAGGAAATCTGTAATTTGGATCTAACCTAGGTTTAATTTGTACAGTTCTCTATGGTTTTTGCTGCACTGGTTCACTTTTGTTAGTACATAGCAAAGCACAAGAGAGCCATGGGCAGATGTCTAGAAAAGTTGATAGTGGTTTAATCAGGGATTTGTGCCCAGTGATGGTCTCTAATAGGGAATTTGCTAGATAGAATAATGATCCTATTTTCCAGGTTTGAGCAAATTTAGTCATCTTTTGGGATTGCACTAATAGCTGTTAAAACAGTCCCTAACTGAAATTGCTGACACACAGAATTAGGACTAGAACAAGAGGCTGTTGCCATGCCAGTTGCCAGTTTAGGGAGAAAATGAAATAGCTAGACTAATGGTTTTTTCGTGTTTGGTATTTACAGTTTGTTTACATTTAATGTATTCTTTCATCCACCAAAGAAGGAATAGAATTAAAAAATGAAAGCATTAGCCACCTCATGTGCTCTGTTTTGCTATCATATTTTGAATAAGGGGGTAAGATTAAAGTCTTAGTGATACAGGTGATGTATTGGTTTTCTAAGGTGTATTGATAATGTACCAATAGATTATTGGCACTAAGAAGAGAAATAACTTTTTTAAAAAATAAATTTGAATCAGAGATCCAAAGAGGATTTTTTTCCCTTTACTTTGCTTGTGTTGTGGCATTAGGTGGAAATAATTCTCTCCTTGCCATACTAACAGATCATTGTAATTTGCTTTAAATTTGTGGTGGTGGTTTTCAAGAGGGTTTTTGGGAAATAAGTTATGCTGGTGTTTTTCGTGGGTCAGCACTGTGTTTGGGACATGCCACAGGCAGTGCCTGGCTTCTAAAATTCCTTCCTATTGGTCTTACGGTCTTGTACAAGGAAATATTACTGCCCACAATGATAATGGTGCGTCC